TTTACTACCTGCTAACAGCTTCACATAAAGGAAGCTGGGCTAAGCTGCTGAAAGCTGCCAAGGCATTGAATGTGTTCTATTCAACAGCAGGAACTAAAAATCTTGTCAAAATCATGCTGTTTTGAAGACAGGCTGGGATGACTTCCACAGCATCAACACAAGCTGCAGCGTGAGGGTAGCTGATCTATTGGGCTTAAGGAAGCATTATCCATCTGACCTGGTAGCTGCCATGAAGGCCCGCCATGCCCTGCTAATCACAGGGTGAACTGGTTCGGCATGCTGCTCTCTCCATGTCACTTACACAGCATTGCCGTTCAGCAAGTGGGGTCCAAGTAGGCACTCTGTTGGGGTCGTTCCTAGATATTGCAGGAATTAGAGTATGAGAAAAATGCAGTGCTATAACATTAACAGCAAGGGACCAAAGGAAATGCACATTTGAAAATTTTCTGACTTAAATATTAACGATAACCACAATTTGACTCTACTATTAATTAATATCTGCTTATATGCTTTTATCTTTTCTTTCACTGCCCCCACTCTACTGTTCATTTTTTGTTGATGCTTGATATTTATTATGAAAAGTCCTCAAAAAAGCACAGTAAAAGATTTTGTCATGTCAATTTTTTTTTTAACCAGGATTTCACCCATCTTATTATCAACATAGACAACCAGAGCAAACCAGAACAGAATCAGCATGGACTTAGCTTGGTGAGCAGAAAAGATTGTTCTGATTCTATTTGGATACCTAAAGCCAGGAGACTTGGGTTTGAAACCTGGCTCTGCTGTTTTTTTTTTGTTCTGTATGTTTTATGTATATTTCACCTTTCTGAGTTGCAGTATCCTCAACTGTGTACTGGAAACATACAAAAATGAAAATGAAACAACAAAAAGAAACTAGCTCACAGGACTATGTGTAAAAGCACCAATAGTAGTGCTTGGAATATATAGCAGGCTAGTGGTTCTAGATGTGGTTCATTATGAATTTGCATAGGTAGCAAAAATCATATACATTGCGATTAAGAAACCTAGTCAAATAACATAGTGTACTTTTCACATAAACAGAAAAGCATATTCAAAATATTTCAGTTCCCATTTTACATTTTTTATTTAAAAATCAATGAAACTCCATGGCTATTATCATCTTACTACATCTACTGGGCCTTAGTATGCACAAAAATGAATTTAATTCTATATTATGCAGAAAATTAACTTAATTGTGATTTCAATCACATTCAAAAGGGTCTTCATGAAGGAATTATTTTAAATATATATGACAAAAATATTCTGTGAACATATATCCTTTTCTTAATGAGTATTTTCATTATGCTTTAAATTATTTTTAAAATATATATGATGCACAATTATATAATGTGTTTTACTGCTCTAGAGCTGGCTATATAATGAAGATCTATATAAAATTTTACTCATGACACAGCAAAACAATCTTGGTTTTTATTAAAGAAGGAAGACCAAATGATGTCTGAGTGGTTTCAGTTTGACTTCTGACAATTTGTGGCTTCTTGTAATAATTAGCCTTTGCCAGTTAAAATATTGAATTAATAATTAAAGACAGTGTTTGCCAAATAAAGTTCTAAATGACTAAAATGAATGAGCTGCTTCTGACCCATTCTTTTCCTTTGAAGGATGAGATGTGAAAATGTAAACTGACCCCTGTTGAGATGGAATGACCAAGGTCACTCACACGGAGACTGAGGGAGGGTGTATGCCCTTGGCTGAAACCCTATTAGGTTATTACATTTTTCCCAACATAAAATACTCAAGTTATTTCAATTAAATATTATGCTTTTCATCTTTGCCTTCTCTTTTTCATTTTCATTTCAAAACGAAATAGGACTGATTTATTCAGGGTGACTGGCAACATCATTTTAGCTGGAAGAGAAATGCTGTTTTTGATGTTTGGTATGAAACTTACAAAGAGGCCCCACAACTGAAACACTGATGGATTGTTGAAAAAGTAAGTAAAATGAGAAGCAGAAACTCTGAAACGATGGTAAGAGCTGGGCTTTTAATTTTTCTTTTTTAATTAAAAAAGTTTTAAGCTGAAGGAAGCTGACAGTATAATCTAGTCCAGGGATCAGCAAACGTTTCAGTAAAGGGCCAAATAGTAAATATTTTAGACTTGTGAACAGTATGGCCTTTTTCACAACTACTCAACTCTGCCTTTGCAGAAGGAAGCAGCCATAGGCAATTCATGAACTACTGAATGCGGCTGTGTCACATTCAAATATTTACAAAACCGGGTGGTGGGCCATATTTGGCCTGCAAGCCACAGTCTGTAGACCACATCATTTGAACTAATCTCTTTAGAAAAGAGGAAAATCAGGTTAAGAGATATCAAGAGATAAACTTAACCAAAGTCACTGAAAACATTGTTTCAGAGCCCAAGTTGCAGCCAAGTTTCCTTATATCCTATTTTTTTCTGTTACATCATTGTTATATTAATGAGCAAACAAGGGCCTCTGTGTATTGGCTCCTAGATACTTATTTCTTCACTACAGCCTGAGACCCTTCAGCTCAAAAGCCCGCCAGCACCAGATTCAAACTTTTGCACAAATAATTATTTTAAAATTGTCCAAACAAGTAAATGTTTAGCTCATTAGAGCTTCCTGGCTTTGAATACCCCTGAAACCTCACCCAGCAGCGGTTACCTATTGATGACATGGGGCTTGCTGTTGTGAAGTCCCAGACTGCTGCTGCAGGCAGCCACCAGGAGACTCAAGTCTCAGGTTCCCCTCTAACCTGCGAGCTCTCTTATCTCCCTCCCCTTCTGAGTAACAGACCCCTGAGCCGAAGCCTCTAGACAGACTTGTGCTGTGAGAAACGTCCCATGTACAAACCTCTCAAGGCATTAGAGGCTTGTTGTGTTCCTGCCTGTCATATCTTTCTCCTTGACCACAAATCCCTCAAACTGTTAGAATCATGACTCATAAAAGGTAAAACAGAAAACAAAAATATTTCGGTCGTCTTTAGGTAGTTTGTTTTTTCAATTCCCCAAATAGATGCTTTTAGTAAGAGAAATTATTTCTGTAAAGCATATTTCTTAGGAATTCTTCTACTATAAAATGGTTAAACCACTAGGATTATGCTCATATGTACAACCTTATCTCTGTTAACAGAACTTACTTCCTCTTTTTCTGTGAAAGCTACCAGAAAATATCAAGGGGATAGAGAATTAATAAGTTTTTGCAGATAGAAATGTTTTACTAGTCTGTGTCTACTATGCATGGTGGGAAGTGGGTATAAATTTTCTAAGATAGGGTGATAGAAAAAGTAAGAGACTCCAACAGCTGTCTGGGCATGAAAATGCCTTTTAAAGAAGAGTGTGTGTCCATGGTATAATTAAAAATCTTTAAGTGGCACAAATGAAATGATAATATATCTAAAGAGAAAATCCAAAAGGTAATTTTCAAGTACTCTGATTACTTTTTTCTGTAGATAGGCCATTTAAAAAATTTACTGTAATACCAGTTGAGTAGTATGGAAGATAAAGATTAGTGTTCAAGAAACATTCACTTCTCATGACCACCATCTACATGGGAAAACTATACTTCCTGTCATGTTGACTTAAGGTTTGCCCATGTGACTTTGGCCAGAACAATGTCAGCACACACGACATGATCAGAGGCTTGAAATATGCTTGCACAGTTGGGCCACATGTGAAGAAACATAGAAGGCTGGAAAATAATGGCTCATACAGTAGTGAAACACTTGTTAAAAGTGTTGCCTAAAATAATGTAAAATCAGGAAATTTACCCAATAAATTGGTGAAAATTGGATGATGAAATTTTGAAAGAGAATATTGAGAGTGTAAAAAATGAGCTGGCTCCTGCTAGTTGCATTTGTTACAGTGATAGAAGAAACATATTAAAATTTATATGGAAGATTATAAATTGATTTGAATTTTATATGATTGCACATACATGAAATAATAATTTAAATAGTGTAGAAAGAAAAGTACAAATCAATGTATAATTTACTTAAGTAATTACAGATATTTCAATTATGGTTTTTAACAAATGGCACTGATGCAATTGCAAATTTATAAGAATAATAAATTTATTGGAAGAATAATAAATGCATTGGTTACCCACTTCTAAGCAAATAAAGTTAGAATTTACTTCAAACCACCACTATGATAAATTCCTTGATTTCAGGAGGGAGGGAAAGATATGAATCTTAAATTTATATTAATTTTGAAGGTCTCTTTCTTTTATTCAATCACTGAATGTTAGAGTATAAGAAAAGCTGAGAGATCATCTGGTCTGGGTTTTATATCAAATCACATTTTGCAAAATAATATCATGAAGAGGTGACTTGGAAACAATAGAGAGCCGACAGGAGAAGAGAGACTGATGGACCTTAGGAACAAAAAAGGAAAACTGAGCCAGTGAGACCATTTGGGATTCCAAGGAAGATTTCATTTTGAAAAGGTTTCATATCAACAGATAGGTATCTAGGTATGCAGATGACAGATGATAGAAAGATAGACAGGCAGATAGGCTAAACATTTCTGACCTAATATACATTTCTGATTTTCTAGTTGCAGAAACTCAGATCCAAAAGCTTAAAATAGTTTCTAAATAAACACCCATCTAGTAATCAACAGCATCAGAATGTGAATACCTAACTTCTTTCCCTGAGGAAAGGGCGTTCTGATTGTCACACTGAATGATCGCAGGTGATTGCTTGTCTTGAGTCACCCTCAGCTTCTCTTCTACTTTCTTTAGAATCAACACATGTCTTTGCATATGAGTTATACATATGGACACATCTGTGTACCAGTCTTCTAACTATTCATATATACATATATATTTTTATACTTTATACATCATTATACTTATATATTTATATATATGTAAATCTTAATATACTGCATTATTTAATGATATTTATATAATACTACAGGACAAGGAAGTACATACAATATTTCCTCTGAGCCAAGCTCATCTGTTTTTACTTGTTTCTGTCCTATTTTGGATCGAGAATGCTATCTTAGATTCAAATGAAACTGTAGCTACTACACAACAGTTTTGTTATGGTATGACTAGATACTAGAATTGCATGATCTTCTTAAGTGAACTGGTATATCATCTGCAAAGAAAACCATAAAGAATTGATGCGATTACACTCTTATGTCTATGGAAATGTGGAAATCAATGAAATAGGGTTCAATATTCATGTATCTTTAGTAATAATTTAACATGACAACAAAATTAATGTGTTTGAAATTATTACAAATACGATGCCAGCACTACTCCTGTGGCAATAATAACAAACCTATCAACATGTAATGATTAGTTTGTCTGCTTATTCAGTAGTTTTATGTAACTTTAGTAGTTTAAAATGAATTCCATATTTCATGAAATAAAAGTTTTACCATCGACTTGCACTGTTGTGAGAAAAAGCAGCAGATCTCTCTAAAGAACACCAATCATTACAGTCACTGTGAAAATGTGCTCTGATTGCCTCAGAAGTCCAAAATGTATGTGAGATGCTTAAGGTTGCCAACCAAAAATCTGGGGTCGAACTGCCGTTTGAAAACTTAATAGCAGTGTGCCTTTGGGCAATTCACTTTTTCTTCTGAACATACTTGCTCCCCTGCAAAAGGTGTGGCAACCACACAAGAAACTTACAGAAATGTACTGTGTAAATCAAGAAGTACTCCACAAATTTTGCTTGTTGGCATTATTACAACTGGAGGTATTTAGAAAATATATAGGGATATTCTTTTTTTTTAATCTTTTGATTTTTATATTTACAAGTTTTATAAATAATAATATGACTATCAATATACTATTTGAAGATTTATGCCTTGGCACAAAGTATTAAAGTGACTAGCTCATAGGGAGTTCTATAAGCTCATTAAATTTTATGTATTTTATCTTTTTTTAACAAAAACACTTCATTGAGGCGTGACTGACATACAAAAAGCTGTACATATATAATGAATACAACTTGATGAATGTGGAGATAAGTAAACACCCATGAAGCCACCCCAAATCAGTGCCAAAAACATATCCATCACCAGAATTTTCTTAATGTCATCTTTTGGTTCACTCCTGACCCCTAACTCAGAAAAGCATTCTGACAGCTGCCCCAGAGGACAGTCCATCTGAATATTGTACCTTGAAATATATCCTTGACTAGCTGGTGTGATAGAGAAAATTCATGTTAGAATGTGGTTTGAACATAAAATACCATGATAGTGTGATAATTGGGCAACTTCAGACATTGCCCATGAGGTTAATGGAAAGTGAGAGGTTAAGTGTAAGAGAATATGTAGAGAATTAGTAGGATTGAAGGCATTTATGGTTTCCATTAGTGTGTATATATGTGATGGGAAATGTTTTTGCAAAAGGAGATTCCTTTTCTTTCATAAAAGGTAGTGATAATAGTATCGAGTTTGTGTAGTTTGTAGACACAAGAGGACTACACTAGGAGTTAGAATTGTAATAGTACTGGATGACTATCTCGGCCATACCACTGTACCTCTCTGGGCATCAACTTTCTCATCTGAAACTGTGGATTTTGAGTAGAAAGGCTGTCTACGGCTCTTTCACATTCTAAAAGATGTGGGTGGGGATGGAGTGAGGAACAAAGCAATAAAATATGGCATCCTATAAAAAGCACTCCATAAAATTACCTAGGGATTTTGATTGACTATAAATGTAGTTACCCATGATTTTTTAAACCTTGTGCATATCCGCATCACTCTGGAAGCTCTTAAAAATGTGTCTGTTATACTGGACCCCACAACTCAGAATTTCTTATTTAATAGACTTTTTGTCTGATGAACTCATTCAAGACATCTACTTGTATTTCCAGTGCCTAGAATAATTTAGGCTCAGGAAAAGTTTGCAGAGTAAGTGAATAAATGAGCTCCAAGTTTTGTGGGACAGCATATAAAATACCTGGGGAGAAACAAGTGTGTGTGTGTGTGTGTGTGTGTGTGTGTGTGTAAAATGAATCTCTAACACACAATGACTTCGGGGAATGGACTAAGGGAGAAACAGAGGGATAGACTATTGCCTCAACCTAAAATTGGAACTGTTTAAGCCTTGCAGCCATACAATTCAGAAAATCACAAGTATGATGTTAGAGCAAGCAAGAACAACACAGCTAGCATGATGAGCTGATGCTGAAAGGGAAGGAAGCTCAGTTAATGGAGAGTCTTCAAAGTCATTCCAGGCATATCTTCTATGCTCAATGCTTCTAATTACAAAATTTAAAAAAGTTTTCAATTATGAAGTACTTTTTTTCCATAAAATGCTACAAAAAAGTTTAGTCCATCAATTAGATAGCACACTGATGGCAGAGACTGCTTATTAATCATAAGCCAGAAGCGGCTGGAACTGTGAACATGAGGCTTAAATCTTGCCATCTAAGAACTTAGGTCACAGTAATATGAGGAGAACTACTCCAGAGTGCATCATAATAAAATTACTTGGTAAAGAGAAAATCTTACAAAAAAAAAAAAAAAAGAGGTGCTGTGTAAAAAGGCACAGATAGAAAGATAGAAACATCACCGCAGATTTCTCAGGGGAAAAAAATGCAGTGAGTCTACAATTTATGGTGCATCCACACAATGACTCAGAGATAAAGAGAATGAACTATTGCTGTGCATGTAAAATGGATAACTCTCAAAATAATTACATGAATGAAATGACCCAGATAAATTAGAGTACACACTGTACGTTTTGATTTTTTAGAATTATAGAATTGCCAAATTAATCCTTAGTAACAGAAAGCAGACTAGTGGTTTTCTGGTGAAGAAGGTGCAGGAATGACAAGGGGAACAAGGAAACTTTTGGGGCTGATGGACAGGTTCATTTTTTGATTTTGTTGATGGCTTCAGGGTGTATATGTAGATTATTGTATCAAATTTTACACTTTATATATGTGCAATGTATATGTTAACTATACCACCAGAAAACTTTTTAGAAAGAGTTTATGAAGTGTAAAAAAATGTTAAACTTTGCATTCATGATTTTATATATATCCTCTATTTTTACACTGAGTTTAGCGTAAGATAAAATGTGCAGGAAAGTACACTAAAACTTTTATATAAATTGGTTTTCCATTCACTACTAAATGTGATAAGATATAAACAACTCAGTATTTTTTTCCCCTGTGGCATGTTCTTGCCAATGTAAACATGAAATGACCAAAGCTAAAGGGCATCTTTACTTTCCCATTCCCAAAACACTTTGGCTTAGTGCAGGGTTTTTACTTGAGAAAAAGTTCTGATTTGAAAACTTGGATTTCCTGTCAAAGACTTCTCATAAAAATCCTTACAAATTTGCTTATCACCTGGTGAAGAAAATTAAGACAGTCATTGTAATGGAACATCAGTGAAGCCAGGTTATCACTGAAATTGTCAAGCTGGCTTTCTGACTTGTAGTAAAAGAAAACTCCCAAAACACCATTGCAATGAGATCATCTGCTCTGATATTTCTTCAATGGCTTTTATCTTCAGCAGGAAATGGGATGAAATTCATTTTCGAGCAACCACCTTTTGATTTTCATCAGCTTCAGACAAACACCATTGAAAAAGTCACCCAATTTAGTTAGACTTCTTCATATACAATAAACAATATTACCATACAAAAAATGTGACAAAATAAAAAGTCCTCTTACCCTTTCTCTGTGGAGTATCTGTGATGTCTGGTAAAACATTACGTTGCTACTTTGATCATTAAGAATATCCATAAGTCATCGCTTCTAGATTGGCCTGCATAGTTACCTTCAAATACTACTATACTCAGAGTCAGCTCGTGTTACTGTTTCTGTGGTTTGCTGCCCTACAAGCAAAGCAGGAGGATAAGGGTCATACTGTAGATCAAAAATAAGCATGAGAAACTGCATTATGACATTATTATGTCATATGTACAAATATCCTGTATTATGACATTTGTAAAACTGAGATTCTGCTTGTTTGTAACAGCCCTAAAGCAGCTCTCAGGTGCCCAGCTAGGCATGCAGCATCTTCAGTTTGCAGGTATGCTTTCCATGCTGAAATCAAAGACATAAACTTTGGCATCATTTTATGAAAAATGAAATTGTTGAGTTCTAAACAAAGGGATCTTCCCGCCTATAGCAAGTATTAATCATTTACAATATTACACAATCCTCTCTGAGATATGTTTTCAGAGCTCCGACAAGACAGCACTCAGGATTAGCTGTCTGACCACCTTGGGCTCAGGTCAGCAGGTGCCTTTCTTAAATAGTGATTAGAAGAAAACATTGTTTTTCTTCTAGAACGTGCACTGGTTTTTAACTAGCAATAAATTTTAACTAGCAATAAAATTGTGAGTCTTTTTCTTTACTGAAATGAGAATGAATCAAACTGGGCATGGGATAATAAGCAAAATAAAGTTCTTGTACATGAGTGCCTTGGGACAGAGGACTTGCCAGTGAAGCAGCGTAGGAACAGATTTCATACTCAGGATTAACTTCAAATATAAACTGGAATTCAAGGACATAAGGAGATGCTAGTTTACACCAGTACAGGCAACCTGCTCTAGATTTCAGATGTCTGTCTACTTACTAGATACTTCTTAGCCTTTAAACATGCCCACATAGTTTCCATTAAAAAGAAGAGCAAGAAAGAGGAGAAGGAAGAAGAGGAGGAGGAAGAGGGGAAAAAAAAGGAAAACATCAACCCCCTCCCCCACAAAAACATTAACAACAAAACAAGCACCACACCTCAATCTACATTGTGTTCAGAATCTTACCTCTCTTATCTGTGGCATACACTTATTTGTTTGCCATTATTCACATTCCCTGACTTCCTTAGTAATATAACTCCCAATTTTTAGCTGGACACATGGGCTATCTGTAATTAAGACCATACTTCTCAACTTCCTTTGATTCTAGATTTGGTTCTGTGACTAAGTACTAATCAACAGAATGCAAATAAGAGTATCTGAAAGTGTCTAGAAGCTGTCACCATAGTTGGGGCAGAAACTGTCACCATCACAGATGGTGACACATAATGTCACAGTTGGGGACATCCTTCCATTATCCTTTTTCCTTCCTGATGACTTGAATGCAATTATGATGGGCTGAAACTCAGCAAACATCTTATATTAGAAAGTGGAAGTAAGGATGGCGAAGCAATAAGATTGAAGGAGCTTGGGCCCTGATGCTGATAAAACAACCTTAAACTTAAACTTACACAATGTTATTTGTCAATTCTATCTCAGTAAAGCTGGGAAAAACATAATAGTGACAGCGTTGTAAGGATGAGATAATATTTAAAAGCCTCAGCACAAAGCTTGGTTTTGTTTTATAAATGCCTGCTTATTAAAAATGTGTTTAATAAATTGTAGCTATTCAGCTATCATTATCTGCCAGGCATGTGCTAAGCAGTATGTATACAAGACAGACTCTGCTTTCAGTGACCTTACAGTGGAGGGCAGGATAGACAGTCCAAAACTACCTATTAAAATGCATAAAACTGTGAAACATAAGCAGATATTAGTAACTGTTTATTTTAAATTGTACTATATATTTTTCCAGGGTTGCTTAAAGCCATTGTAAAAATCCATTGAACTCTCACCTTTTAGATATATCTCCAGTAATAAAAATAAATGGAAGTAAAGGTACAAAACATCCACAAACTATCTGCTTGCAATTCATCTAGTTCATTTTTCTACAGTAGGACAAAAATAATCCTATAATATTTTATCATCTCTTTGAAGCAGAGATTTAAATAAATGAAACCCTATTATACATGTTTGCATGCATCTTCTTTAAAAGCAGTTTTTTTATTTCAGGTAATATAATTTCAATTGTGGTATGTACATATGACATATGGTATATATGTGTGTGTTGTGTTTATTCACTTCGGTCAAAATTGATGGCAATTGTAAAGCCTAATAAAATATATACCAAATGAATATATTTAGGTTTAAGGGAAATTGAGAAATGAAAAGTTTAATTAATCAGAAAAGAAAATGCAAATAATTATATTTCAGAAATAAAATTCAAATTTTCTTTTATACTGAGAATTCAACTCCCTGCATACACATCTTGAATATATTTTGCCACTATGACATTTTTCAAAGAATAATCAAGATCTCTGGATTAAATGTTTAGAAAAAGGAAGTGGCAATTCAGGTTTCTGCCTTGCCCTTTCAGTGATAACAGATGTTTCAGATAATTATATTATTTAAATTTTTTCTTTGAAAGTATAGCAATCTTAGTAATGGAATCAGATTGGTTCATAAAACCACAAGTTATTTCCTCACATGTACTGTGTAAAAATGGCCCTCAAATTTTCTTTTAATGGATAAACTTTGTGAACATTTTTTTCAATCAAGGTAATAGAGAACAGGTATTTAATCTGGATAGAAAAATATAAAAACCAGAAAAGGCCTGAACCTTTTTCACTCAGAGTTCCTTCTTTCTGAAGTGGCCCTTGACAGGATTCCTGTAGGTCAATAACGCATGAACAGAATCTGTGGTAGTGTGGTAGGGAGGGAGGTGCTATTGCAAAGAAACGGTCTCCCCTGCATGTTGTGAATGCATAAGTCATCGGGTATATAAATACTTCAGTCATCTGGAAGCAAGGGGAAGACCAACTCAAAATTAAAGGTGGACAAATGATGGAAAATCAGAGAAGTAAAGAACCTGAGTCCAAGAGGACATTTTGAGTCACTGAATCAACAAAGTCTGAGATCACCCTATGTCTGGACTGCTGTTTTGTGAGAATATAAATTTTCTATTGTTTAAGTCAATTTGAGTCCTGTACTCTAAGCCAAAATCCTCCTGATTAATAGTGTCTCTTTCTGCACAACTGGAAAACCACTACATGTAGACTTGGATTTGAAAGACATGGAAGTCATTATGGTACAACCTTTTCAATTTGCAATGGAAATGGGCAAGTATTTTGCAAGTAATATTTTGCTAATATTTAAGTTTAAATGCTAACAAATGAACTTTTAACAAATTGCAATTAATTTAATATATCCCTAGAGTAACATGACTCCTCCTCACGTGTAGCCCTCTTCTCTAACCTAAGTTCCTCAACAACTAGTTTAGCCTTCCTACTGCAATGTTGCAAAACCATGTGCTCTGCTTTCTTAAGTGAAAGAGAGAAAAAATGGTCATCCAGCTTCTACTTCAATGCTTCTGATGAATAACTGTATTGACTTTTAAAAAGATGAAAAGCTATCCAAGTATTTAAGAAGTGGAAAGAGTCAAGACCCTCAGGTTTTAAAAATAAGTAAGGATTCAAGGTTTTCTTTCAATAGAAGTCTTCCTGAGTTTGCCGGTCATTAGAACATTAATTATGAGCAATTTTGGCAAAGTCTCTGTGAATGCAACACTGAAGCAGCTCGTCTACTAATGGCTAGTTCTAATTCATGGAAAGGTCTTTCTTTTAATAAGTGGAACTCTGGCCTGACTTAACTTATCAACATTTGTCTTCTGAATGAGGCCTTTTCTTTTACCACATTAGAGCCTTTTAAATAATTGAAAGCAGATGCCATTTTCCCTCCTCATTCCTGTTTTTTCTTTCTAGTGTCTGTGTGTTGCAGGGTCAAGGGAAGGGGAATATTCTTTTACCCACTGGGTAACATAAGGATAATTTTGTTGTTGTTTTTTTTCATGAGAGATGAGTATGGGAAACACAATTTGGGTTCTTACTCTGTTCAAACCATCTTCCCACACCCTCTTCTCCCTTCCACCCAGAGTGAGTGATTAATACAGGCAAAAGCCTAAAATCCATTCCTCTCTAATGGTCAGAGTTAATATTCCAAAGTTCACTGATTTTGTGTGTCTTGGCCTCTCAGCAATTTCTCTCTCAGATAACAAGAATGCCTACAAATGCAGCTGTTCTCCTTGATGATGGCTATGTGGTAAGCTCATCACTAAAGACCTCTCTAATCCTCCTAACTATAAAAAATAACTGTTATTCAACTGCTTGGCCTGAAAGTGGATGGGTGAGGGAGTTCACCTCCTAAAGGAGAGTGTGGAAGGCCTCTCTTCACCACTGGGTCCAAGGCATATTTTCACATTCAACGTTAACAGTAAGATGTGTGCTTTGGGTACTCCAGCTGATACTGGACGTATTCCCTCCTTCATCCAAATCCTGTACTTCATTTCAGTTGGCTCAGAATGTGGAGCGAGTCTAAGTATTATTCGTATCTGGCAACTCTCCCCTAAAACCTCTAGTTCTTTCAATGTTCTTTCTTACATACTGTCTTTACTGTCCAAAATTATGTTTATCCTTCTCTGACTATTCTCTACTTCTTGTAGGCCCTTCTTACAATGTGGCCGCATAACATCATAATAGGTTGGAGGGGAAAATCCTTTCCATTGAATTCATGTAGACCTTGGTTAACACCCTGGCTCTTCTGGTTAACAGATGTGAGTGCTTGGCAGATTATTTAATGGCCCTGAGTCTTATGTTCTCCGTCTTAAATGGAAAGAAGATCAACTTCACATAACAGTTACAAAGTTGGAGATCATTAAGAAAGCATTTGTAAGTCATTTAGCACAGTGCCTGATGTATACGAGGTACATGAGAAATGTCAGTTTTCCTTTCAGCGTTCTTCCACAAAACCGAACCTACTTCAATGGCATACCCGGCACATACTGAAGACACTAAAATTTAATACTTGCTCCATAGATTAGACATTGAAGGAATTCTATGGGACTGATTTATTTTCACATCAATAAATGAAAAAACACTTCTATTAAAAAGTTATGCCTCAAAATATTTGTTCATTATGGCATGAAAATCAGACAAATTTAGCCTCTTTTCTGAGCCCCTCTTAAATGCTATTTTCTCCAA